TATTTTGTCAAAGTCTTTTCCTGTCTATATAAAATATAGATATTTGTTTATATATTAAATATAAAATAAAAATAAATTAATATATTATATATTATAATATTAATATATAATATTTTATATATTTGAATAAAAATATTTTATATATTTTTAATAAAAATATTTTATATCAATCACTTCAATGTGTGTGTATATATACAGTGGGTACGGAATTCAGACCCCGTTTACCGTCCAACCTGACAGAACTGGAGAGGATTTGCAAGGAGGAATGGCAGAGGATCCCCAAATCCATGTGTGAAAAACTTGTTGCATCTTTCCCAAAAAGACTCATGGCTGTATTAGCTCAAAAGGGTGCTTCTACTAAATACTGAGCATTTTTCAGTTTTTCTTTTTTAATAAATCTGCAAAGATGTCAACAATTCTGTGTTTTTCTGTCAATATGGGGTGCTGTGTGTACATTAATGAGGAAAAAAAATTAACTTAAATGATTTTAGCAAATGGCTGCAATATAACAAAGAGTGAAAAATTTAAGGGGGTCTGAATACTTTCCGTACCCACTGTATATATATAATGGATATAGATATATCAGTACTAGTGTTAAGTGTGTTTTATGTGTGTATTTTCAGGCTCCAGCTCATTGATGATCTGTCATATGAGGATGTAAAGAAATGCTACAGGGGTTCAGTAAGTATATTTCAATATCCAGCGGCTGAATAATAATCTGTCTGCTATTCCTTGTGTAGTGAAAAACACATACAGATTCAAAGCGATTCAACTCAATTAAATTGTACAGTGCTTTGGCTAAAATGCAGGTCTTCAGGACGTTGTGTCATGCGAGAAAATGAGTCTCAATTAGGCTTGCCGCGATAGACGGTGCTGACGGTGATACCGGTGTTAAGCCGCAGCACCGGTTACGTCACTTGCCCACCGCGGCACCAAGCTATTTAAAAGCGAAGGAAAGCGAGGAAAAGAGGGAACGCCCCCGCAGTGATACCGGTATTACCGGTGTTGTCACACGTCGATTAACCGGTGGGAAAATTTCCTCACCGTCACAACCCTAGACTCAATCTGAGTGTTTTTTTTCACAGACCGTCAGCAAATACAACTCACAGTACCACAAACTCTTCTCAGCCGTCCCGAAGGAGGAGATCCTCATGAAGGGTAACCTTTCCCATTGATCTTACACTGCATTTACACTTTAGATCAGTGCGTTTAGTTGCTTCAGGACTCAAGTGATTAAAGAGAGTGCCAGATTAGCTTTTCTCCCTCTAAACATTAGAATGCATTAATATTATATCACAAACTATGCAGCTTTGTTGTGCGTAACATGACAGATGCATACTGCGTTCATTTGGATTCGGCACCAGGTTCGGACTGAATATGTGTTGTATTTTGTATTAAAGTGTCTCTTGTGTTCCTCTAGTTTATTCCTGCGCTCTTCTGCGGGACATTCTGCTGCAAGGGCGGCTTTACATCTCTCGAAACTGGCTGTGTTTCTATGCAAACCTTTTCGGGAAAGACATCAAGGTTTGTAGCGCTTTCTTTAACGTGCAAATTAAAGATGTTCAAGATCAATGAGTGACCAAGTCTGCATCAGCGTTGTTACTGTTAGAACTATGTTAAAACTATTAATAATTTCTGTTGATTGAAATAAATTAAAAACTAAATTAAATATAAATGTTAGATGAAAAAAGAAAAAAAATATTTAATTAAAAAATTAAAGTGAAATAAAAAATACATTTTTACACATAAAATTACTAAAACAAACAAATGAAAACTGAAAAATAAAAGCTAATTCAAAATAATAATAAATATTGTAATAGTGTTTAAATAATGCTAAAATAACATTAATGTGCAAACTAAAGCTAAAAAAGCTAAACTAATAAAAATGACAAAAGCACATAAAATTACTAAAATTAAACTAAAATGAAAACTGAAAATATAAAAATAAAAGCTAATTCAAAATATTAATAAATATTGTAATAGTGTTTAAATAATACTAAAATAACACTGATTTGCAAATTGAATAAAAAATTTAAGCTAATAAAAATGACAGAATATCAAATTACTAAAACTAAAATTAAAACTGAAAAAATAAAAATAAAGCTAACTCAAAATTCAGTAGTAAAATTATATAAGTACTATAACAGTATATAATACTGTAAATGATACTAAAATAACACTGATGTTCAAATTAAAGCAAAAAAATTAAAACTTAAACTAATAAAAATAACAAGTCACAAAAAATTGCTAAAACAAACTAAAATGTAAACTGAAAATAGAAAAAATAAATGTCAAAGAAATTAAAATATTAATAAATACTATAATAGTGTATTAATAATACTAAAACAATGATCTTTTTAAAATTAAAACTTATACAAATGACAAAAGCACATAAAATTGCTAAAACTAAAACTAAAATGTAATATATAAAAAAAATAAAAAAATAAAAATTTCTGGGGATTTTAAAGTGGTCTGGAAAAGTGATAGAAAGTAATAAAATGTTTTGGGGGAAATCCTAAAATTCATGTTGTGAAGTTGCTGTTCATGAGCGCAGACGTTTTTATAATACATGTCCCTGCAGCACAAAATCAGTGTTAAGTCGCTGGGGTATATTTGTAGCAATAGCCAACAATACATTGTACGGGCCAAAAATCATTAGGATATTAAGTAAAGATCATGTTCCATGAAGATATTTTGTAAATGTCCTACCATAAATATATATTTTTGATTAGTAATATGCATTGCTAAGAACTTCATTTG